CGCTTCTTCTCTCCTCTAAGAGACGAGGAAAGATGAAACGTTTCATTAAAGAACCTTGTGCAGAGGACCTAATGTTTTATTATTTTTAACTGGATTATTGAGATGCGTCCGATTATTCAAAGGCAACTAAAAAGAATGGTTATATTATTGCATTTCTTTTAATAAACATGCTTATATTCATTGGCTGCAACACTAATCAAAAAGTTAGCTTCGCTAACCCCCAATCCGCTAACTAAAAAAATTAGCTTTGCAAATAAAACCATAAAACATGYGTATTTACATCTCCCAAAAGGCTTTAGGTCATTTTCCCTGTCCAAAATCCCTCTTCTGACCATAGTACAAGGATTTATGTCACACTTTTTCCTCTCCTTCCAGTTGAAAACTTAGCAGGTGTACACTAACATGCTAATAATGCTAAAAACACAAGCAAGGGGCAATAGCACAATCAAATTAAACCATAATTATGTCTAACATTAGAAAAACAGAATCAGGAAAGCTATCTTACCTTTTCTGTACTGCATTATATCCTAAAGCCACCAGGATAAAACCTAAAAGTTGAACACTATTCATGGAAACACGACAACTTGAGAGTGCTTTGGTCACATGATGTGATTCAACCAGAGTGGACAACCATTSATATATTACTGGATTGGGCTTCACCTGAGTTGGGCGTGGTACACAAGAGGGATTTTTAGGGACTAGCAGCAGTTGGTACAAGACACACCTCCTACAAACACAACCCTATCTTTTTTTGCTGRTTTTATCTAATTTTTTGTATGTTTATTTGTTTAATTAATCTAACTTTATTAAACTAACCCTAACCCTTTATATTTTTTATATATGGTTTAATTGTATCTCCTTTTTAAAATCTTTTAAGGGCCATGCTCATTGTTTGCATTGAAAAATTGCTTCCGGGGCCACCATTGCAAAAGTGGGCGTGTTTTATAGAGGACAAGGGGCGTGGTTTGTAGAGGACAAGGGGCGTGTTTTATAGAGGACAAGGGGCGTGTTTTATAAAGGACTAAGGGTGTGGTTTGTAGCTAGTTCTTATTGGATTTTGCAGTGAGCTGTTAGCTAAACTTTGAAATCAATGAGCAGAAAATGTTGTGGTGCAAACGCGTAATAAATGTACAAATAAATGTACAAATGGCTCAAATAAACTGCTGAATTAAAGACAAGAAGGTTACAAGAGCAAAGGGGATTATGTTTCACAGGTAAATGATTCGCATATTTAATCAAAATTATTTTTTAACTATAAAACTGGTATGCTAACAATCAATATCCTTCAATGTTCATGTTTAACATTTTTAAATAGATTGTTGTCAAATATTTTATCTACTGATACAAAGTAGTAAAAAATATTGGCTTTTAATTTCAATACTGACCAGTAATATTTCATAAACAATGATGCTGGCATACAGCAAGGATATCCACAGAATGTTAATGCTACAAGCACACAAGACAGATTTCTCAGGTGTGCTGTGCTGCATGATGAGTAAGAGGTTTTGTGTATTTATTTATTTATTTTTTTGTTAGCAGACTTAAAGTTAGCAAAACTAGCGGAACTTAGCAGAAGCTAGTTGGTCTGCTAACGGTTTCCAAAGCTAGCAAAACTGCTACTTTGCTAAACAAATTAAAGATTAGCTCCACTATTAGCTGTGCTCATGCTTGATTAGTCGGCACATCGTAACTATTTTGTCTTTGAGCATGGGGGTACTATTTATTTATTTATTTATTTATTTATTTATTTATTTATTTATTTATTTATTTATTTATTTATTCATTCATTTATTTATTTATTCATTCATTCTATTTTATTTTATTTTATTTTATTTTATTTTTCACCAGGGCAGACAGAAAATACTGTAGTTTGAGAAGCACTGATCTAATCCAAAGACTCTAACCAGCTTTAGTTTCATCCATATGACGATGTGGACATGCCCAGCTGCWTTAGGAACCATATTATATTTCACAGGCTGATGCTCATATGCTGAAGTGGAAAAAAAAACACCAGCTGTGTTTGATGACCTCTCACCAAGCAGCTGAAAATGAACAAATGTTGCAGCCACATTTTTCTCTCCTTGTCTCTTTTTTTTTTTGTTGCACCAAGTGTGTAGCTGCAAGCAGAGATAGCAGTATACAACAACACAATGACCACAGACAGAATACAGAGATACTCTCTGGACAGGAAGCCATACCAACATGCATTTCCTGTTCTGCAGGCCGTTCTTGTCGGCAGACAGCGAGGAGGATGTTGTTGATGATGTTAGCCAGGTGTTGGCCTGCAGTCGGTGGCGACAGCTCCAGATTGGGTGGTTGCCATGGAAATCCACGGCAGACCCAGTGTTTGTCTCCACCAGAGAGGGGTAGATGGTGTGAATGCACAGAGGTGGCATGAGAGCTATTTCAACTGTACAGAAAATTTAGAGAGAAAAGAGTAAAGATGGCACTATTAGTCAGGATTAGGGATGCACCGATATGAAAATTTCAGCCGATACCGATATAATTATTGATGTTATGGCTGATAACAAGTATTTAATGATACTACACAAACACAAATTATATTATACATATACACACAAACACACTTGGGTCTTTTTTTGATACTGTAAATAAACAACCAGACCTCTGACATGACTACTTCAGTTATTCCTGGCTGCGCAGCATCAGTATCACTATCATGATCAAACAGATGCTGCTCAACAAACCATCTCACCTCCCAAAACACAAAGATAAAAAATGGGAAATCAATATCAGACTGTAAAAGCCATTTGTATTAATAAGCTAAAAACTTTATGTTAAATATGTTTTTTTTATTATTTTCAGTTATATCTATGAATAATAGTTTGCTATTGTGTTAACAGAACAAGATAAGCAATTGTACGTTATATGAGCTTATCACGTGGTACATTTTGATTGGTTACAAGATCGGCAACATAAAAGCCTGAAAGGCATCAGCGGGGCAGAAGTTTAGCACCTGAGAGTAAACACAGTCTTTGTACCATCACTTTCTACTTGTCTTGAGTTTGTTGTTTTTGTATTCCTCAAAGTTCAGTAAAGTCACATAACGTAACCGCCGACGACAAGACTCTTATTATTTGAAGAAATGTGTCGCGTTTGAAAGAGCTTTCTGTGTGTTCAACTAGTGAGGGCCGGCCACACTCACACGGACGGTAAAGGGATCCCTGATTAGTTGTAACATTAGACTTTATTTRRTAAACATATATTTTAACTGAAAAATAAAGACTGTAAAAATACTGTAGGMTGTTCATTCTCCTCTCATCACTGAGGTCCTCCATCCACATGACAGAGAGGGGAACACAAACATGACTCAGTCTGTAACTGAAAATATGGATGGAGGACTTCAGTTTAGCTTTTTTGTTTGTTGCGCTAGCGCCGAGCTAATACATATAAGGCAATATAGCRTCGGCGCTAGCACAAAGGCTAACAGGCTAAGCTGAGGTTCTTCTTCCATGAAGCAGCTCTGTTGTCCTCCATCCATATTTTCAGTTCCAGGCTGAGTCATTTCTACCTTCTCCTCTCTGTCAACGCTCTCTGGTTTCATTTAAAAGAGTCGATCATCAGATATTGTCCAAGATTAACCTTCAGGGTGGATATAGCTCGCTCACTCCGAGGACCTATCCACGTCATCATTTACCCAGAATGCTTTGTGTGCAAATAAAATGGCTCCGTCTGTGTAACATATTTTAAAAACTTACAAAACTAAACATCCTACAGTATTTTTAGTCTTTATTTTACAGTTAAAATAAATGTTCATCAAATAAAGTCTAATGTTATAACTAATCGTGGATCCCTTTAATATCAGCCCAGTTTTACATATCGGGATCAATACTGATATCCTAAAAAAAGACCAATATCGGCCGATACTGATATTAATGCCAATATATTGTACATCCCTAGTCAGGATAAACTGCATCAAAAGATCCACCATCCTTTATTGTAAGGGATATTTATCACTCATGTGGGAACAAATGCATGCCTTCAGAGTAGACAGATGGTCAAACAGCACAAGGCGCTGCGCTCATAATCTCCTGAGTGTCTGAAACACACCAGCAGGACAGGTTTGATGCAGACTTGCTCATCAGAGAAAATCTCTCCCAAGCATCCGGCCGCCCAACGCTAGGCAGTGACTCAGCAGCAGCTGTTGTCATGGGTTACCAGACACCCATGGAGGATGGGATGGGGGGTGGATCAGCTCATTGCTGACACATCTGACTCCCCCTGCAGAGACTCCACCCAGTCAGCTGCTTTTAAATCCTCCACTTTCACTGGAGGCCCCGCCTTGTGCAGCAGGCCTGAGGAGGAGGTAATCCCATCTGAGAGGCCTCATCCAACCACAGCTAGCCCACTGACCTGCAGAGCTGCCCCCGCCCGCATCCACGCAGATTAATGCCTCATTAGGAGCAGCTGATTTAACAGTAATCCACTTACATGCTGGATTTGTGGATCTGAGATCAATTGCAGCCTCTACCATGTGATCAGCTATTTTAACATGTACCCATCATCAATACTGCAGTGATCAGCCCAGCTCTGACATGAATCAGCAAAAACTGATCTTCATGCCCTGTGAATTGAACAAAACCTTCCAATTACACACTTTCAGTACATGCCACTTCCAGGAAATACCCATGTCCCACTAATGACATTAAGGCTTTGTAGCTGCTTGCTAATTTGGGACAAAGGGCCATGTAAATCTCTGGCAGGGACTACAACCAGTGTTCTGGGTCAGCTCAGGGCATGCTGTCCCATAATCCACTGCTCAGATATGCAGCATAACAAATCATTTACACCAGATTAGACCCTTGGGTTTATTGGAAATCATCTCATTTGAACCAAGTCTACTTCCTGGATCACCAGGTTTAGATAACGCTCCCTTTCACATCCAGTCACAGAACTACAGCTGAAGATCCACCCTCGATGCTGTACCAAACAGGACTATAATCCCAAGAATTACAAGAGAAAATCAGGCTAGACTACAATTTTAGTAACAAATTCTTTTTATTACAACATTTCACGGCTTTCCATTTCTGGTAATGTTTGTGGCAGAGTAACATGATTGCTGGGAATTTACAAAAACTCCAAAAAAGTAGTTTAACAAAAAAATAAAATAAAAAATAAACCCATACACACCAGTAATCAAAGTTTCTCACTTGAGACAATTCAGAGAGAATTGGAACACAAAGCTACCCTGAATTAACTCACAAAACAGGGCTAAATAAATTCAAATTTAACCCCAAATTTAAAAAAAAAAAAAAAAAAAAAGTCCCTTTGAACATCTCCCAGATCTAGATGGAATCAATTTAAATAAAAAAAAAAAAGTTGTGAAAACTATCGATTTTTGGGCTTTTACATTTTGGCCAGCGTACAAACAAAAAGTTGTGCATTTCCGAAAAATTAGAAGACGAAGAGAATAAGCTTGATGCCTCAGCTCAGGCGCACAAAAAAAAATTAAAAATATAAAGAAAAGCAGCCACGAGATGTTTGAGTGGTGAAGGTGGCGGTGAGACAGCGATGAGCTTCCTGGAAACGCAGGCCACGCCTTGTCCTCCCCCCCCCACCCCTCCTTTAACCTGCACATCCAGAGCTGGCAGTCAGTCATGGTGGCGTTCGAGACGTCTTCTGCTCTTCATACCCCCCACCCCTCCTCCTCCTTACGACGAGGCGGCATCAGGAAGGGTGGGTGGACGGGGCCCCGACTGCTTTGACAGGGGCGTCATCTGTCCACGGGGGGTGGGGTGTGCAGCTTCGTTATGGTCGTCGTTTTGTAAATTTCGGTTACAAAGTTATACAGCTAAGAGAAGTGACTGAAAACAAGGCAATGCGGGAGGAGAGAGGGGAGGGGGAGGGAGTGTACAGTGCATGACAGGGCGGGAGAGGCTTCATGATGCTTGCTTCTCCTGTTCAATGGCTGTGGAAGGAAAAAGAGCAAAAATCAGACTAATCACCTGGACAGAGGGCGTAAAAACAAACAAACGACAAAGACTGGGCTTACTYTCTTTTGTTGGCAGGGGGTTCTTCTCCTTCGTCTCCGTTTTCTTCAGCTTGGTCTTGTCGAAGTTGGCCACCTCTGACACATCAGGTTTGTCGCTCATTGTTGCGGTTGGGTCTGCGAGGAGAGGCATGCAAAAAATGAGTGAACAAAAACAGTTCTGCACTGAAAACCCTGACATGCTGGTGACGCCATTTAAAAAGATGGGAATCTGAGAACAGGGGGAAGGGCGTTGCCTTAAAAAAACCCTGCAGACAATCATTTGTTCAGTTAGACCGATTGTCCCCTCGTGGTGTTCGCCTCCTTTTCTGCACAGACTGGAGCCAGGCATGAGAACAGGGCTGGGGAGGCTGCAGACAATGACACCGAGGGCCGACATTTAAATTACAATGGAGAGTTCCCATGCTCGTGAACGGAGGGGGAATCATGAAGGGAGGCTATGAGGGACGTCAGCCTGGGGTTGGTTTCAGCTTAAATGCAGGAATTACGGTTTTATTCCAGGGATGAAGAGCTGATCCCAGTCTCATACCGCAGACTACTTTCACCCACACTCTAGAAGGAACCACCGCCCAGATTTTTTTTCCTCCCCACCTTCTCTTGAACGCCCCGCTAATATATATATAAAAAAAATCATTAAAGTTTAGGCTTAGACGCATTTCTTGCAGTTTTAATGCGACAAAAGCTCCAACAAGGCGTGTTCGCAAACGCGCTAAAGCAGCGTTTTTTGAAGACGGAACTGAGCGCGTGCACAAACAAAGGGAAGCGGAATGCGAGCGCGCGAGACAAAAGAGCACAAACAGCTTCGTTTGTCTCTTTCCTCCCGACATTTAGGGACTAAATAATTAAAAATAAAAGCTAGCTGCGTTCAGTGACAAAAAAAAAAGAGCTCAGTTTTAACCAGGTTCTTCTATACTGCGACATTCCAACATATCACTGCTGTTAAATACCAGCAAAGCTGCAGGCSGAAGAAGCACTGCGGGGACGGAGGGGAACAACAAACAAAAAGAATAAGCTGATATTAATGAAAAGCGCTCACCGAAGTGTTTCTTCACGGATGTAAAGTCTCTGGTCAACGGTTTGCTGCAGAAGTGATTCGCCTTTGCGCAAGCTTCTGATATAGTCAGAAATATGCTAATGACGTCTGACATCACCAGGCAGCATTCCCCGGGCCACTCCGCCCCCTGCCGGTGAGGCGAGGAACTGCACCCCAAACAAACCCTCCTCAAGCAGCATTTTATTTATTAATCTGTCATCCTGAATGCTTCATCATTTATACACTGAATGCTTCATCATTTATACACTGAATGTTTCATCATTTATACACTGAATGTTTCATAGTTTATACACTGAATGCTTCAGTGATAACCCGGTATTCAAAACAAGTGCCATAATTTTGAACCTCTCCTGTAACTTCGCACAAAAATATGCTCTTTCTCCTGACTTGGCAACAGTTCATGTGTATATTGGGCTCCACCTTGTGGCAATCCTGCACACATCCTCAGCTTCTGATTTCATGTTTACTGTCACGTATTCTAACAACCAGGTGTCAMTGATGAAGCCTTTTAATCATGCAGGTGTCTGTAGTAAGCAGCCTTCAGAAGCTCACCTGAACAGGTGGATGTAGTTGTGCCCAGGAGAAGGCCTCCTGCAGATCATCAACAGCTGGCAGTGGCCAATCAGAACGGTTGGAGTCAACTTGCCCTCATTTAAACAAAATGTTGTGTCAGCGTTTGAGTTAAAATCTTTAATTTACAATCAAAGTTGTGTTAAGAGGCAAAAAACAAAACTAAATAAAAAATGTAAGTAGATTAAGGATTAGCATTCATTAAATACAATCCTGGCTCATGTCTAGCTGTGGCTAGTTGCTGTCCAAGTTTTCTTGAAATCTGCCAACTGGTTCATGAAATATTTTGCTAAAAAACACAACACACCTTTGCCAACACACAATGACTTACTTTCAATTAAAAAGCCTGATTTATAAAAAAAAAACAGTCACTCAGCAGGGTCCTGGAGGGTGCATGGGAGTTCGCCCAACCTGTCTACATGTGTTTTGTGGACTTGGAGAAGGCGTTCGACCGTGTCCCAAGGGGGGCCCTGTGGGGGGTTCTCCGGGAGTATGGGGTACCGGGCCACTTGATACGGGCTGTCAGGTCCTTGTACGACCGGTGTCAGAGTCTGGTTCGCATTGCCGGCAGTAAGTCGGGCTCGTTTCCGGTGAGAGTTGGACTCCGCCAAGGCTGCCCTTTGTCACCGATTCTGTTCATTACTTTCATGGACAGAATTTCTAGGCGCAGCCGAGGTGTTGAGGGGATCCGTTTTGGTGGCCTTAGGATCGCATCTCTGCTTTTTGCGGATGATGTGGTCCTGTTGGCTTCATCGGAACGAGATCTGCAGCTCTCRCTGGAGCGGTTCGCGGCCGAGTGCGAAGCGGCCGGGATGAGGCTCAGTGCCTCCAAATCYGAGGCCATGGTCTTGAGCCGGAAAAGGGCAGAGTGCCTTCTCCGGGTCAGGGGGGTCGCCCTGTCTCAAGTGGAGGAGTTTAAGTATCTGGGGATCTTGTTCACGAATGGGGGAAGAACGGAGCGGGAGRTCGACAGGCGGATTGGCGCAGCGTCTGCTGTAAAGCGGGCGCTGTACCGGTCCGTCGTGGTGAAGAGAGAGCTGAGTCAGAAAGCRAAGCTCTCGATTTACCGGTCGATCTACGTTCCTACCCTCATCTATGGTCATGAGCTTTGGGTCATGACCGAAAGAACAAGGTCCCGGATACAAGCGGCCGAAATGAGTTTCCTCCGCAGGGTGGCTGGRCTCTCCCTTAGAGATAGGGTGAGAAGCTCGGTCATCCGGGAGGGACTCAGAGTAGAGCCGCTGCTCCTCCACGTCGAGAGGAGCCAGTTGAGGTGGCTCGGGCATCTGGTAAGGATGCCTCCTGGACGCCTCCCTGGTGAGGTATTCCGGGCACGTCCCACAGGGAGGAGGCCCCGAGGAAGACCCAGGACACGCTGGAGGGACTATGTCTCTCAGCTGGCCTGGGAACGCCTTGGAGTTCCCCCGGAGGAGCTGGAAGAAGTGGCTGGGGAGAGGGAGGTCTGGGCCTCCCTTCTGAAGCTGCTGCCCCCGCGACCCGACCCCGGATAGGCGGAAGAAAATGGATGGATGGATGGATGGACAGTGGAACTGAGTTTGAAAGAGAGTAGAATATATCTTTTTTCAATGGTACAGAGTCATTAAAAAGTAACACAAGGACAACCAAGATTAATTTTCAAAGCTTTATTAATAAAAGAAAGCCTTTGTGTTACACATAAAAAAAAATCACTTTTTTTTTTTCTTCCCATCAACTTTTACGTCACTAAAATCCACCTTTATTGAACCGTAGTGACCCGTCCCAGCTGTGACGATGACACAATCGGGGTTTGAATCTTAACACTATAAAAACAGCGTCAGGCTCAGTCGTCGTTCATGACCCTAATGAAGGTGAAGCGCTGCATCTCCTATTAGTCTCAACATATTTGAAACAGGAAGAAATCAAAGAATCCTCATATGAACCTGTGACAACTGAACGGCTGCAGCAGGACATCTGTAGTGGCTCGCTAAAATAGAAGATAAGATTTCTTGTGTTTGTGATCACATGAATCAGAACAGCTTGTGAAGACTGCTGAGAGTCTGATGACAGAGTGAGCATCAAGTGCTTCTATCAGGCTGAGTTAAAGGTTGATCCCTACACCAGGAGGGGCCGCAGGAAAAAAAAGAAGAGGCATAAATCTTTAATTTTATGTCAGAAAGGAATGCATCTTTTAAAACAAAAAAAGAAAAAATGATGGACCCTTTAATCAAAGCCTCGCGGCTCGAGTTGAAAAAAAAAAACAGGAAGTACACAGGAAACTAAAACAAAAAAGAAAGTAATCATAAATATAAACTTCAGAAAAGCTGTTTGGCTGTATCTGCTGGGTGATAATGTCCCTGATGGTATGTGTGTGTGTGAGTTCTTTAAAAAAAAAAAAAAAACAGTCACATGGGCTTGGTCTTTTTCGATCACCGCTGCAGGATGAGCGGCCTCGCGGGGTGAAGTGGGTGGAGCCTCCTGTTCTTCACAGAGGAACGTGACTGAAGAGGTATGAAACCGACTCGCCGTTGTGGGTTCTCCTGATCGCCTCGGCCAGGATCATGGAGATGTCAATGACCTGCGGGAAACAACCAAGCCCATATTTAAAGAATCATAAATAGGCCAAGTTCTCACCTGTCTGTTAGCAAAATATCTCATGAACTACTGCACGGATTTAACTGAAACTCCCTGGAAGYAGTTACTAGATGAACACRTACAACTGATTAACTTTTGGTGTCTACYGGATTCAAAATGGCCGCCACAGACAACCAACCTCAGCAAACATTAAAGTGGCTACAACTCCTTTAGCTTTACAGATACTGGRGTAACACTTGATGTGGCAGTATTTGAGAGCCACAAATTATACTCTGAGCAGAATCTGAATGTGCAAGATATGGTTTTGAAACTTTGCYATTAAATATTGGGAGTCACCAGTGTCTGCCTGTTAGCAAAATATCTCCTGAACTACTGGATAGACTTCAAAGAAACTTTCAGAGTAATCACTGTTAAACTTTTGCCTCCAACCTGATTTAAGGCTCCCGCAGCGCATGGACTTTAAAAACAGAAAATTATTATAATAASAAATACATTTAATAATTAAGTCARTTGTACAGATACTGAGCTAAAACTTGGCGTGATAGTAGCTGAGCAACACATACTCCAAGAGCTACACAAAACTTTGGCAATAATTGTTAGTTAACCCTGTTTGTTAGCAAAATATCTCATAAACCATGGCACAAATTTAAGTGACGCTCACAGTTAGTATTTATTGTTTGTACATCTTCTGAAGTCAACATGATTAAAGATGCTACATGATCTTAGGAAAAACAAAAATGGCTTTAACTGGGTCAGTGTTTTAGGTATTCAGATGGTATGTATGTGGTAGTCRCTGAGAGTCATTCCCAACACGCAGCTGGAGCTACCTGTATCTTTGGACACGCCTTCATCTTCTCCTCCTGTGGGATGGTGTTGGTCACCACCACAGCCTCGAACGGGGCACTGTTGATGCGAGAGATGGCCGGACCCGAGAAGATCCCGTGCGTGAGGATGGCGTAGACCTTGGTGGCGCCGGCGTCGATTAATCTAAAGAACGGGCGGAGGCGATGAGGTTTGAGCGCAACTTTTGAACGAAGGAAGAAGAGAGAGAGAAGGCACTCACTTGTCRGCGGCGTGGCAGATGGTGCCGCAGGTGTCGGCCATGTCGTCCACCATGATGGCCACTCGGTCCTTCACGTCCCCGACCAGGACCATACGGTCCACCTCGTTGGCCTTCTTCCTCTCTTTGTGGATGAGGGCAAAGTCCACRTTCAGACGATCGGCGATGGAGGTCACGCTGAGGAGGGGACAGAACGGAAACAGAGTGAACCTTTAACTCCTAAAAGCACCAAAAAAAAAGGATAGAAAAAGTAAAAAGATATTTTATCTACAGCTCTTACCGCTTGGCTCCTCCAGCATCCGGAGAYACGATGATGCAATTCTTCCACTCAGGAATGTTTTCTTTGATCCACTGCAGGACGGCCGGCTCTGCGTACAGGTTGTCCACGGCAATGTCAAAAAATCCCTTCAGAGACACATTTTACAAGTAACGTTAGGGGAGATACGAGGAACGGGTTCATAACCGACCAGACAGAGCCTCAGCCTGTTCACGAGGTCACAGAGCATGACGGACCTGGATCTGCGAGGCGTGCAGGTCCATGGTGATGATGTGGTCCGCTCCGGCCACAGACAACATGTTAGCCACCAGTTTGGCAGAAATGGGCGCTCGACTCTGAAAGACAAACAAGACAAGGCAGCTTCATGTGAGAGAGCGCTGGTTTTAGACTGGACTTTAAAGTTTTACTGTTGACCTWAAAGATGCTGAATGGACAGACTCTTGTAGACCTGTCTGACATGTGTACCCTCAAGATCCCTTAGAGCAGAGATTCTTAACCCATGGGGGTCTGTGAGCACCACCTTGAGGCCCTCCAAAGTACAACAGTTTTTAACTTTGGGCAGCATTGATTTTGAATAAGGTGCAATACACTTGCTCACCACTAGTAGCGGTAGTGCGCCACTCAGATGTTTAACAACTTTTTAATATGTAGAAGAAGAAACTTAGGAACCTGCCGAGAATGGAAACTTATTTTAAATGAAAAGTAGAAGCAAAAATGAAAGTAACTGGTCAAAAAATGCCAAAGTTTGTCACTAATATGTTAAGCAGCTTCTGGTTGCAAAAGTTTAAAAATGCTATATTTTCATTTGTGCTTTATCAAATTTATTTTTACAGTTTTTTTATTTGAAACATTTAAACATTTTTATTTATTTATTTACCCATAATTTAATTTTTTGAATTGTCTATTTTTTGTTATTGTTTATGTTATATATATAAGTGCTGATAAGCATGAGTGGTCTGTTGACTGACTTGTATTTGTTCAAACAATTGTTAAGGGCAGGTTACAATATAAAAATGTTTGTCATAATCATGTCTTGTGATTATTTGACAGGAGTTTTACTTTTAAACTGTAAGTGTATTTTATTTAGTTATGTTAGCTATAATAGTTAAGTTATAATGTAAATACAATAAAAATTAAACCAAGATTTAGAGTAGAATAATTATCATTTTGATCCATACATTGGTAATGTCTGGCTGGGCCTCGTGACACTTTATGTTCAATAAATTGGGCCCTGAGGTCAAAAAGGTTAAGAACCCCTGCTTTAGAGCAGAGATGCCCAAAGTGGGGCCCACGGGCCAAAATTAATCCACCAAGCCACTTGATTTGGCCCAGCAGCAGTTTTCCTGGTTATTAGATTGTAATTTTCTGTCCTTTGTAGAAAGACCACTTTTCAACMATTGGTTCAACTAAAAGTACAAGGTGCTGTAAGTCAGATAGTCTTATCTCATCGTACTCACTTTATCTTTGAATTATGTTAAGATTAAACATAAAATACAAAATACAAGTAAATACAAGAGACATTTAGATTAGATTTAAGCACACATCTAGATTTGCACACCTTATACTCATACCACACTTATACCATATATTCTCAAACTGTAATTTATGAAAAGTCCCATGAGCCTTTGCAGCCTGAGCATATTTTGAATTTTCTCCATGTCCATGGGCTGAAAAAAAAGAATGTGGGCAACTGCACTGGCTGTTAGCTTAATCATAAAAATAAAACTACTTTATTTAAGAAGTATTTGCATTCATGTATTATATTATTGCATTTGGCCCAGGTCACTCAGATTGATTTAAATTTTGGCCCTCTCAGGAAAAATTTTTGGGCACCCCTGCCTTAGAGCTAATGACAAGGGTTGTTGTTTTTTTTACTGAAGTCCTCTGGTCTCTCAGGTGATCAGGTCTTTAGTTGTCCCGAGGTCTGGACTGGTCCAGAGGTGATCAGGTCTTTAGTTGTCCACAGGTCCAGGCTGGTAGTCATTGTTGCTCCATTTTCTGGTTTTAACACATCCGTTATATTTTAATTTCATAAACATTACAACCATTTTTCTCCGGCTGCATATGCCACCACGTTCAGCTACCTCTGCAGACTACACCTGCCTGTAGCTCAGTCATGTGACTCAAGCTTCAGACAGGTTCTCAGCTAATTCAGCCGAGTGCATTGTTCACATCCAGTGCGTACCTGCATTTCTGAACTTCACGTCGATATAACTGGAAAACTACCAGAGTAAACTCTTTAAAATGGCACCATCTGATTTAGTTCAGGATAACGCTGTTTAATTTTATTTTACAATTAAGTGAATAACATTTAAAATCAGACAAACAGCCCCTTTATATAGTGAAAATTTGTTTTTTATTTTTTAATTCAAAAATAAAATCTGCATTTAACTTATTTGTCACGACTCTTTCAGCTTATTCTGCACCTAATTTAAAAATGAGTTGATAGATGAACAAAGACAAGCTGCAGCCCTGATAAAATGTTCAAACTCTTACAGGTCTCTTAAATCAGAACTCTCTTCAGCACATTATTCATGACATTTGAACTTAAGAGTTTCTAATATTTCAAAGAGGAGAAGGTTTAAAAAGCATCTGTAGCTTTGAGGTTTGTTTACACAACACTCCTCAGGTGATTTCAGGACAATGACCGATGTTTGCAGAAAACAAAAGAGCTACATGAGAAAAACCTGATCCAGGTGTTGGGGCAGACAGCTTTGTATGAGTGAGGGTTTCTGTGTCTACATCGCATGTTTTACTCATGGGTTCATCCACAGGTCTGTGAGTGAGTGAAACACTGAGGAGGAGAAGCTCACGTTCAGTCAGTTTCTCCTGCACACGCATGCTTGTGTTTTAATTTTGCGTCGCTCTCGGGGTGTTTACCTTGTCCTTCTTGTCCTGCCGGGCGTAGGGGAAGCAGGGGATGACGGCGGTGACGCGGGAGGCCGAGGCGATCTTGCAGGCGTTGATCATGATGAGAAGCTCCATCAGGTTGTCGTTAATTTCTCCGCAGCCGCTCTGCACGATGTACACGTCCTCGCCGCGGACGCTTTCCCCGATCTCCACACTGAACACACAACGTCTTGATTACAGAAACACGACAAACACTCAAATAAGAGACTCAAAACGGAGCAGGTGAAGATTGTTTTTGAGATGTTAAAGGGGATTACAAATCCTCTTTAACACATCAGGGGAAAACCTGGTATTATTAAAGGAAATGAGTTCATGTTCTGCAGTGACAAATTCACCTTTCAAGTGAGCTGAGCAGGTTTTTATTGATGAGAAGGTCTAAAATCACACAAGCAAAGTACAGCTATTAAAAAAACATTGTTGCAGCGACTGACAAGTGCAATAATGTTGTTCTCAAAGTTGGGGTCAGGCACCCCACTGTGGGTCATGAAACTTAGATCGAGGGTCTCCAGATATTCTTAAGAAATCAAATTACATGTAAAAAGCTAATATGCTAATATTGCTGGCAGATTTAACCATAGTTAATCAAAAATAAACAATCATACATTAATAAACATGTTTGTAGCATCATTACAGCATAATATATATTCAATAATGACTGAAATAACTGATCTGTGTATAAAATCCCAGTGATAAACATAATGCCAACTGTGTTAGCTTCACTAATACATTTTCAATGTGGAGTTTGCGTTTCTGCTAATGTTGTTCAGCAGCCTGATTACTAAGGTTTTTGGGGTTTATTTTACTGTGCACTCTTTTGAGGCATGCAAATATATAAATCTGTTTATTTTTTTGTCAAATAAAGCAGTTGTTTAATTTTGTAAATGTGTATTAAGTCTCAGTATTTCAGTTTCAGTGTTTTTGGATGAACACCATAAGTGGACCAGCTGCCTCCTGGTGTTTATTAACATACATGAGAGCTGCAGATAACTGAGATACATTAAATAGGCCTGCAACTAACGATTATTTTAATAATCGATTAATCTGTTGATTTTTTTTTTGATTAATTGATTAATCAGCCTTTAAAACACTTAATTAAATGAATGAGCAGATATAAATTAAGTTAACTCCTTAAGGATGCAAGTTATTGATAAAGAATTAATCTGAAGTTGATTTATCTTATAGATTGATTAACAATAAATTAATAAGCAGCCATTTAAAAAAAAACGAAGTTTTCTCTTGAATCAAGAGGGGCTTCCCATAAAATGAAGGATTTTTTTTTACAATCTCCTGAATTAAAAAAAACAGAAGCACATAACACATATTTTAACAATTTATTTTGCCAGCTGTACTAAATACTGGACTGAAAAAAGTG